CAGACGTGTGCTCTTCCGATCTCCCCAAAACCCCAAAACCCCAATTTGCAATTATTAGAAAAGTTAAATTAATGATAGGATTAATTATTCTTTGATAATTTTTTTGCGGATTTTAATAGTTAGTGATTAATTTTAATATACCGAGAAATTTTATTTAATGGCAAATTATGTGAAATAATTATCTAATATTATTGCAGCTTCCTCGTTTCTACTACTAGCATAAAAATCTTTTGTTGTATATCCAGCACCTGAAAAAACTTAGACAGAAACAGAAAGAAGAAACATCGATTTTTAAAATACAGTAAAGAGTTTCCTTATTATTTGTTCAAAAAACAGGATAATCATTTAATACAAAGATCTGGAAAAGATGTATACTTAGGGGCTTATTAGTGATCCATACTTTATACATTTTTCAGAGAATTACTAAAAAATATGACCTCTTCATGATTAATAAACAGACTTATATTGGAAAGAGAAACCAAGAAAGGAAGTTTGATATCATTTATAATGAGATAATAATAATTTATATTAAGTCTATTAAAGGAATCTTAAATTTTTCTTTAAATCAAACTCGAACATTTATCTTCATTGGTAGATCATCATTAGTTATATATAATGACTTTAACATATGAAATTGGATATAGAAATCTTTCTTTATCTTTCAAGCAAAGTAGGAAATGCTTGAAATGATAAAAAACCAAATGCCATTTAAGTAGTGAATAGCTAAAAGCCAAAGGCTTTGAATCCACTCGGTTCATATTTTTTTAAGTTAAAGTAGTCAAGTATATATCAAGTAATGATGTCAATCACTAAGTATATTATGTCCGCGAGTAATTTTGCCAAATTAGGATATGATCCTCAGAGACTGTCTCGGGAAGATCACTAAAACTTTTTACGAGACAAGTCACTAATCTTTCTGGGGAGCATTCTCTCACTAGATTTTTGTTGCCCTTGCATATAATCTTTAGATTATAGGTATTGGGTACTATTTTCTTGGTATTGATATTAAATATTTTAATTATTATCATTTTCGCTCATTACTTTGGAGTTTTTGCGAATTTCTTGAATCTCATTCTTCTACTTTTTAATCTGTTTCGACTTTAAGCAAAATGCTTTAGTTTGAGTTTAATCTCTCTCAGTTTAATAATAGGTTACATGATGCTATTTACTAGAAAATCCACCTTGTGAATTTGCTAAGGTATTTTGGGTACGCTTATTATCTAACTAGTTTGATTCTTAAATAATGTATTTATCATTTGCACAATTTTTTTCATTTAGACACTAAGCCCTTAAATCTTCCTAGAAGAATAAATTGACTTAGCCGCTGCTCTCAGTTATCATAAATTGAGACATTCTAAAGTTCTCATTAAGGATTAAGTCCTCCTCCATTATGAAAGGTGAGAGCTGCAAAAATTCAAGACTATTAGAGCTTTACGTCGACAATAAACCAGCAGAGAATTTATTTTGCATCTAGTTATCAGGGGATTGATTAATCTAATAATTTTAATAGTTATTAACTTGATTTGGATCCTCTTCCTAAATCAATGACAGGTTGGGGATCGGTGAGTTTGAAATTTTCTGGTCGGACTCATATCCTTGGAAATGAGTTTTGCACTCAGCAACTTCATCTAAATTAAAGTTGAGGTTATATTCTAATATTAGCTCTAATACGCCTTCCAGAAAGCTCAAATATTATTTGTTTTCCAGGACTCTGGTTAAAGATGCCAGCGCGACTGATGACTGTCTATATCCAGCCATCTCATATATCATTTTCATCGTTAGTATATATTCTACCGTTTCATCAAGTATCGCTGTGAAGTCTTGCGACGCGTTAGTAAGAAACAGTAAAAATTTTGTTATTTCAATGGGGGTAACCACTAGAGCTTGCCACTGACAGAAGTTGAGTATACCTTTTTCACACTTGATAATTTTACTTTTGGGGTTTTGAATATTCTGAAAGTATTCCATTTACTCTATCTCCTTGAATACCTTTTAAATGAAGTAGTGTGACTCTATTTGTTTCTAATCAACCTAAAATTTTCACTGAGATATGTTATATTGAGGTATTTGTTACCTTAGCAGCTAATATCAAAGAAGATATACCTATCAAGGAGAGGTTATCTGGGTGGAATTTGAGAGTTGACAGAGCTACATCCATGTAACAGAAAGACTTCTAAAGTGCTTCCTCACTCAATCCCTCTTTGATAGCAATCTATTAAAGATGGAATGAAACTTGAAATTACTTACTCCGTGCATCCAGTGAAAAGTTTGATATCTTTAATGAGGTTGGATGGTTCCTTATTAAATAATTTCTAGGAAATTTTTGATAATTGGCAAGGACTGAAAAGAATTAAATTACAAGTATATTACCTGTTCCTTATTCAGGAGATCTTGCAAAGCGCTTAGACTGTAGAGTGCATTGATTTGGTTGTACTCTTCCATAATATTTTAATGTGTATTTTGTCTCATACTGAGAGTATTTTGGCTCGCTTACTCTAAGCTTTAAATATTTGTGAAATTAATAGAATCCTAAATTTCTCAATTTAATTAATCTACTCCGTTGTACCAGCTTTAAGCTTACGCAATTTATTAAATACGATATTTTTCTGGTATGATATCTGGATGCCCATTTTAATGTGAAATTATTGACTTCCCCATTTTGGAATTAATTAAATATTAAAATAGTTTATTAAGTCATTCTTAATCACTGGCAAAGCCTTGCAAATATTATTAGGTCGAAATTTGCTTGGAAATTCCCTCTCATCTAAGGTTCATACTCAATGGAATAACAATTTCACTAAATTACTAATTTTTAATTTCGATATTTAATCAAGTAAAGCTCATGAATCTCTAAAAATGAAAATATGAGGTGCGATATTCCATTTAGATTTTTATATATTTCAAATCTCTCATTATTACGCTTGCTTTATATTCTCGTGGGGTTTTGGGGTTTTGGGGAGATCGGAAGAGCGTCGTGTAG